ACAGAAGAGAATAGAACGCCTCCGATCAGACATCGCTACACTCGAAGCCTTTCAAAGAGGAGACAGAAATAAATATTTGGAAAACAGAGTAAAAGTCATTAAGAAGAAACATCGCAAACACACACATTACAATCCTGATAATAGTCATCTGTTTGAATTTATAGATACTCTAAAACAGAAACTAAGAATTTACAGCCAACGCATGAGACGTTACACCAAAAGTCTAAAGCGGAAAGTAGAGAACAGAGATTTTCTCAAGAGCCAAAAGGATTTCTACAGAAAGATGAATGAAAAGAACACAGAAGTGAACAGCTTACCAGAGAAATCTACTTTTGAAGAGACCTGGAGTAAAATATGGTCGACGGAAAGTCGCTTCAACGCCAACGCACCTTGGCTAGAACAGGTCAGGAATGCAGCAGCACATATCACTGAAATGAGAACCGGTCAAATCACCCTAGATATTCTACAAAAAGTTGTACAGAAACTTCAAAATTGGACATGCCCTGGATCAGACGGTCTTCATAACTATTGGTTCAAAAGGTTCACCCGCCTCCATGGAAAATTCTAAATCTTAAAAACCACTCTCTGAATAATCCTGAAGAAATGTCGCACTTTCTATGTGAAGGTGTCACATATATGAAGCCAAAACCCAGTGATACTACAGATCCTACGAAATATAGACCAATCACTTGTCTCAATTCTTTCTACAAAGTCATCACAAGTTGTTTATCAATGGTTATCGAGAAACACTGTGTAGCAAATTCTATCTTAGCCGAATGTCAGAAGGGATGCAGCAAGGGCTCTCTTGGATGTAAGGAGCAACTCCTCATTGATAGTGTGGTCATGTCTCAAGCATGTAAGAAGAAACGCAACTTGTTCACCTGCTTCATTGATTATAGAAAGGCCTATGACATGGTTCCGCATGATTGGCTCCTCTATGTGCTGTCGCTATAACGAGTGAACTCGGCAATCGTAAATTTCCTGAAATCCATCATGGGCAAATGGAAGACAACTATTCGTGTCACTTCAAAAAATCAAACAATGACCAAGAACAATACCAAGAAAATAAATATAAAGCACGGAATCTTTCAAGAAGATAGCCTGAGCCCTTACTGGTTCTGCTTGGCAATGAACCCGTTATCGACACTCTTAGAAGACCTGAAATTAGGCACTCCACGGTGCATATCCTGCTGCAGTAGCCAATCCAAATGTCGACCAAGAAATGTCGTACAAATGGCTCAGTATAGGATATTTGTACCCTGAGAGCGAAGGTTTCATGATAGCAATACAAGCTCAGGTGATTTCCACAAAGAAGTACCTAAAATATATCATCAAAGACCCAGGAGTACTAACTGATGAATGTCGCATGTGTGGTCGAGATCATGAAACCATTCAGCATATTATATCGGGCTGTAGCTGTCTAGCTGCCACTGACTATAAAGTGAGACACGATCAAGTGAGCCACATCATCCATTCCAAACTAGCTAAAAAGCACAGGCTACCTCAGAAAGTGGATGCACCATACTACCAGTATCATCCAGAAGCGGTACTAGAAAATGAGACACATAAGTTTTACTGGGACCGCAGTATTCTGACAGACAGGACACTTCAGCACAACAGACCTGATATTACTCTTTGGGACAAATCTGCAAACAAAGTTTGGTTTATTGATGTTGCAGTCGTCAATACCAGCAATATGATGACAACATACCAGATT